CCCATGGGGCCGGCGCAGCGACGACTCACCTCCGTCCAAGGGCTGGCAGCTGTGCTGGCCGAGGATAGGAAGCCCAGGTCCAGGCTGGCCGAGGAGTTGAGCGAACCCTGGGACTCCCGCCACAGCATGGAGCTCCCACTGCCTTCTCCCCCTTCTAGGACAGACCAAGGGACGGTGGTGGGGACCGTGGGCTCCCTTCGGGGTCAGCGCAGCCCCTCTACCCTGCTCGGAACAGCACTTACCTGCCCAGGAGGGCTCCCGCAGCTTCTGGGGTGAACAGAGAAGCATCTCAGCGCGGGGACATCCAAGGCTGCCCCTACCCTTTCGCCGGTCCCCCAAACCCCTTGTCCGTCCTCAGCCTGGGGCTGGGTTTGCTCTGAGCAGCAGGGAAGGACCCAGCGGGGAAGGACCCAGCACTGTTTTGTCAGGCCAAGGGATAGGTCCCTGCCCCCCTTCCCACCCCCTCACCTTGCTGAGGTCAGGCGGGGGGCTGCTGCTGCGGGAGTGAGGCCGCAGGTCGGGCAGGGGCTGTCCCTGGCTCTCTGCCCGCAGGCAGGCCTGGTAGAGTGGGGATTTCACGAAGCGCGTGTAGCTGTCAAACTTCATCAGGTTAAAGATCTGCAAAGGGAGGACGCGTGTGCTTAAGACCCCTGCCCACCTACAGCTTGCTCCAGCCACTGCCCCACGGTGACAGCAGCAACGCTGGGTGATGTGTGGGGTGGTCCCGCAGCCCCAGTCCCATGGGTGAGGTGGAACACGAGTGCTGCTCGTACCTGGAGCTGCTGGACGCGAAACATGTCTGGGGAGGGGGTGGCCAGCATGTCCTCCCCAATCCAGGCCTGCTTGTCAATGTTCACAGGGCTGACCGAGTGGCTGGAGAGGAACTCATCGTAGATCCGCCGTGCCTCCTGGGCCAGCTGGGAGAGCAGGGGGTCAGGCTGGGACCAGGAGCCCCCTCCTCACTGTTACCCTGCGCAGAGCCCCTGGCTCACCCTGCAGAGCCACCCGAGCCCTGAGAGGCCAAGTCCTCCCTGCGTCCGGCTCGGCACCTGCACACCAGGACGGGCATCAGAGCCAGCCGCTCCCACCCAGTGCCAAGCTCTGGGCACAACAATCCGGGATCTCCACGGAGGTACAGCCCGAGGTTGGAACTGCCCCCCCAGCTGCGTGGCTCTGTCCCCACCAGCCCCCGTCTAGCTCTCTGCCCTTGGTCTCTTGTCCTCCCAGCAGCATTCTCCACCTGCTCCATGGGCTGTGCCCTTTTCAGATCCACATCGCATCCACCTCCTTGTCCCACCCATAAGAGAGCCCAGCCTGCTCAGCCTCCCAGAACAGGGGTCTGCTAGGTCCCTGGGACACGCAGGCACGACAGTCACCTCCACCTCTGCCCACACCCCTCCCAGCAGCTGCGTGACCCAGGCTCAGCAGCGCCGTGGCAGTGCGGAGGCTGGTACCTGCTGCGTGTCGCTGGCCGGGATCTGCTGGAAGCGCTCACATGCCTGCCAGAAGTAGACGTTTTCAGCACAGAACTCCTTCTTGAGGAACTCCTGTGGGGCAGA